AAGATATTAGTCTATTACCTTATCTTATCATGTGATCTTCTGTATAGGTTTCTATGAGATTATAATTTTTGTTACATTTATGTATACACATGTTTTGTGTAAGTTATATAATATCAATATAATTTAAGAAAAATGTACGACTGAAGTATCTGGAATCTCCACTAATGCATACCTCATTTTGCTTCAACATTTGCTTCATTTGAATTTTGTATTCTCTTCTTACCTTGCGACTTACAACCAAAGTATTAATATGTCAAACTACTCAAAAATGTTGTTGAAAGTTGATCAGCGAGCATGACAAAAGGTTTTAAAGTTTTATATACAAAAATTTAGCTTATCGCAAACAAAACCATTTATTAAGTAAAACTCACTCTACAAATAACCAATTTAATCTAGTAGTATAATTTAGTCTCTACACTATCATAATCCAAATTAGTTATTAGTTTTCAGAAAAGAAAGACGTATTTCGTAAAAGTTTCTTCTGAAATAAACCAAGTTTGAACCTCATAGTTCTTCAACCATGTCTTCTCTTTCCTTTGTGAAAGATCGCTCCCCTATTTCAACATGTTTTCTGTATAAGCAACTCAGAGCAACAACTCTTCGGGCTTAGGCCACTGCTTGCTCTATCCGATGGCATGCTCCTTGTGTTTCAAGAAGACGATGGAGTTGAATTATTTTTAAAAATACAATTAGTCAACCAAGACTTCTCCATAATTTATATACTTGAGCTTATTCCCAAAAGTGGATAATAATAAGGCTAGAAAAATTAAGGAAATTTACGTATGTTTAGATTTAGCAACTTCAGATACGAGCAACATTTTAAAGGTTCATAGTACAAAGCGAACAAACTTGATAGTTAGTATTTAGTACACGTCAAAATTAATACAAATATCAGATCAATAAGAGCACCAAGTAAGTGACCATGAATTTAACGGAAGGATACATAGATATACCATCTTTACAATAACATATACAGCCTCGTACACTACAAGAAAATGTTGTTTTAGTATCGGCAAAATTCGATGCTAAATCGATGCTAAAGGCATTTAGCGTCGTTTCTGCGTCGAATCACATTTCGACGCTAAACTGTCGACGCTAAAATACATTCGACGCTAAATTAGCGTCGGAATAAATTCGACACTAATTCGATACTATATTTCGACGCTAAATTAGCCTCGATTTAGCATCGGTTTCGTCTTATGTCGATGCTGAATCGACGCTAAATTAGCGTCGATACTAAATCGATGCTAATTTTGCATTAATTTAGCGTCGGCTTAGGACTTAATCGATGCTAATTCGATGCTATATAGCGTCGAAATATAGTATCGAATTAGCATCGAATTCTATGCTTTTTAAAAAAAAATTAAATTTCTAAATCCGAAAACATTGTTAATAAATCTAATTTTTTAAAAAATTTAGAAACTTTTAAATATATATCCGAAAATGAAAACATAAATTGTTTAAAAAACTAAAAATACAAACATAAATTTTAATTCTAATGTTCGTCCCTAAGATTAATGTCATCTCTATATTCATTAATCATAGCTTCGGCTTCTTCATCGAACTGCGTTGGATAGCTAGGTGGAGGTGGCTGTGTAAGACGCGGTACCCGGTTGAGGGCACCAGCTAAAGTCGGATTATCCACTACAATAATGTCCATCAGACTTGTCAATGCCATGAGTTGGTCTTGCATCAAACTGTTGGTTGACCGGAGATCCGCTTGTTCCGTCTTTAGCCGCTCAATCTCAGTATTAGCAGCGGTCAACTGCGTTTCCAACTGCGGGTCAGAAGAACTCGGAGTGTACCTATACCGAGCGGTAGAAGAAGCTGCTGGGAGATCGGCGATGGATCCAACACTCATGATCCGTCTTTTTTTCTTCGGTACAACCTATAAAATGAAAACATTATAAAATCAAATTGTTAAAAATATAATAGAAAATAAGTTAAAATATGATATTATAAACTTAAAAAATTACCTCCTCAAAATTTTATCATAATCATCGACACCCAATGTAGAGTGGACAGAACTACCACCCGGAGAGTATTGTGGCTCTAGCTCTGCCACTCGTGTGTTGTACACGTTGAACGTTTGTTC